ATGATTTATATATTGCCAACCCAACCGTTAGATTATATTCCTAACATTGAGTTTGCAGGGGCCCTGTGCCTGCCTATCTAGTGCCACAAACTGTGATGAATAGCAACATCCTACTGACCCCAGCCGCTCCAGCTTCAAGCTGAAGCAGGCTGCCTTTGGTGCCACCAGCTGGTGCAAACGTACTGTGACGAAGGTGGAATGGGCAGCGCAAAGGCAAGTTGCACTTCGCTCCTGCACAGTAAGGCTTCAGCTATCACTAGCCCCACTTCGGCCTGCCTGTGCCGCCCACCCACTCCTTGAACTGCACACACGCGTAGAGTTAAAAAACATGCCAGCAGTAAAAAAAAAAAAAAAATCCTACTGACCCCAGCCGCTCCAGCTTCAAGCTGAAGCGGGCTGCCTTTGGTGCCACCAGCTGGTGCAAACGTACTGTGACGAAGGTGGAATGGGCAGCGCAAAGGCAAGTTGCACTTCGCTCCTGCACAGTAAGGCTTCAGCTATCACTAGCCCCACTTCGGCCTGCCTGTGCCGCCCACCCACTCCTTGAACTGCACACACGCGTAGAGTTAAAAAACATGCCAGCAGAAAAAAAAAAAAAAAAAACAAAATGGCAGCGGGGACCAAGGGAATCAGTTTGGGGGCATGGCCAGCCTGGGTCACAGCCAGCCACACCCATAGAACCAGTTTTTGAAAATTTTTAGATTTCACCACTGGTTTTATCGATAGCATTTCATTTTTACCCTTGAAATTGAGTAAACTGCCCAAAGCTATGGGTTTTCAAGGAGCCAAGGGATATTTTCAGAGGTGGTATTCAGCCTGTTTGGACTGGTTTGGGCGAACCGCTAGCAGAAATTTTACCTGGTTCGGGGAACTGGCAATTACCACCTCTGGCTGGCCCTGCCCCCGGCCGACCAGTCACCGCTCGCCATGCCGGCCCACTCTCCTTTCCCCTTCCCACCCCTCCCACTCATACCTTTTCGCACCTCACCTGCCTAGAGTCACACCAGCGGCATAGCTGCTGCTGCTGTCTGGACTGGTTCAGCTGATTTCTGCCTGGTGAGCCTTCCTTCGCTCACTCGCCCAGCTGCCTCCCATGTGGCCACTCTTCACCTGGCTTCAGAAGGTAAGGTTGACAGCAAGGGAGGGGGGCAAAGGGCTGCAGGGGGTAGGGGGACACAGTGAGGCTCAGCTGTGTTTCAGGCCCAGCTCCATGAGGGAGGCCCAACAGAAAGTGCCTTGTCCAAGCACAGAGTGCCCCAGCATGGTGCTCGCCCCGGAGGGTTGCTCGCCCACTGCCAAGAAGCGGCAAAGTCACTGCAGTTGCGAGACCTGACTCAAGGTGGAGGGAGGGTGAGCAGGAGGCAGCTAAGACCCGGGCCCAAAAGGAGGCCAAGCCTTGCCATGTTGTCCCTGAGGCAGCCCTTTGGGCGAACAGGCAGGCCTCCCTCCCGTGGTATACCCCTTTCCCCATTTAATTTTATTGACTTTTTATTTTATTTTTTATTCTCTTACATACAATTATAAGTATACATTCACATAGTTGTTAGTCTTCTTTACATTTGTCATTCTTATACATTTGTTTTTCCATTTAATAGGTTATAATATACAATTTGGTTTGCTTTATTTACCCTCCCTTCCGCCTGTTATAACAACCACCTTATTTTCCCTTTCTCTTCTCCCTCCCTCCCTTCTCTACTTTCTTCCTTCCTTCCTCCTCTCCTTCCCATTCCTTCTTCCCTTACCTATTCCCTACTCCTACTCTTCCCCTTCCTACCGTCTCTTCTTCTCTTTCTCTCCCTTCTACCCTCCTCTCCTTACCTCTTTCTTCCTTCCCTCCTCTTCCTCTTGTTCTCTCCTCCTCTCTCCTTTTCTTTTTCTGTTGTTATAGGTGTTTCTTTCAAATCTCAGTTCAGTATAGTATAGTATAAATCTTTATTATGGTCAAAGACCAGCAATACACATTACTTTTTACAGTATGTTAAAAAGTACTGACATTAAAATATAATTAAAAAGTATTGACGTTAAAAGTGGANAAATATAATGCAAACTGATACGATAATGCCTTTTGTTAAGAGGGGTGTACTCACACATTTTTTGAATAAATAAATTATTTCTCCCATCAGTTTGTTGATTTGATTAATTTACTTAGTCTGTATTTACCTGTATTACTTATTGAGCTCTGGAAACTCAGGGCAATGTGCATGGATATTGTGAGGTAAATCCTTTATTCTTCCTTGTGATTTCTATAAAAGTTAATGATATTTTAATCAGGGGAGCAACAATTAATATTAGCTAGATTAGAAAATCATTTGGAAGGATGAAGTAGAATATAGAGTCCAGTATTTATGTGCAGATTTCTAGTACTCCCACCAATTTGCTTAGGTTATTTTATGGCTCTAAATTTCTATAATTAAGACAGAAAAAATAAATCTGCATATTGTATCTGCAGTAGAATGACTCTCTGTTATAGCTTCCTCTTTTCAAAGAATTGGGCTGGGCAATTTAGAGTTTTCTGGCAATGATTCCATTCTTCTCCTTTTTTAGAATTATAGTTCCTTAAATAATAGCAATGATAATGCAGTTTAATCCTTAAAATGACTTCAGTAGTATATTTTCATTGCTGTATTAATATAGCTTCAGTAGTACATTTTCATTGGGAAAAAAAGAGAAAACCAACCCTTCAATGTGCTGAATAAACTATATAGAAAAAAAATCTGGGTCTACAAAAAACTGGTACTGTTGGCTCAGAATGTGATAATCTACATGAATTTTTGGATATCGTTTTTAGCAAATGTGAAAAATTACACAATATTTCCTTGATAATTCCTACCTTTGGATAGTTGGATAATTCCATTGTCCTAAAGACAATGGAGAATTTAAACTTATGTGTTCAAAATGAATATTGTTGTTTAGTTGAATATTTTATTTTCTTCTTGACTAAAAAAAAATTCACTCTATTTTCCAAAATAATCATTGCAGTAACGTGACCAAAATGACAGAGTTCTGGCTGATTTCTGCTCCTGGGGAGAAGACATGTCAGCAGACATGGGAGAAGTTATGTGCTGCAACTATAAAAAATAATAACCTGTCCATCAATGCAAAGTTTAACATTCCAGATTTAAAGGTATAGCTGATTTATTTTTCTGTTCAAAATGTTACTGTTTAACTTTGTATTGCAATTTAAATTAAGGGGGGAGGGTTTAGATAATAGGATGGATAGATCACATTCATTTTGATAGAGTATGTTATACAGCTATATTAATTTATATTAATTGTAAATTATTATTTAACTCATGAAGTGCAAGTAGGCAGTACTGTAGAACTATCTTATTGGGCTGTGTAATGCTTTGTATTTGATTTGGGAGAACTGGTATAAAAATGGAAAGTGTGGCGCATTATGGCAGCAACATCTCTTTCCAAGATTATGGAGTTGCTGTAGAGAAGCTTGAATCCACAGCATTGCACACATGTTGTGTGTTGACAATAAAGGTTTGATTTGCACTAGTATAATACCAGTAAAGAGTGCCTTTATTTTCTAAAAATAATCTAATTTTTCTCTCTGGTTACTGTCATATGTATAACATCCATACATGTAAGCAAAACTATTTGCTCTAATCAATTCAGCAATTCAACTTTTAATTATACACACATACTATGTTTACATTGCATGTTGTGCATTATACAATACAAGAAAACAGTTCTATGCTTGGAGCTGAACATATTACATACATAGCTGTCTGTGTAAGTCAGTAGTGTCTAACTCATAAGGTCCCAGTATTTCAGGCAAGTATTTCTTACAGCCTTGCTTCCAGAGTTAGCAATGGAACCACTGACCTTTTGTTCATACTCTATGTGCTTCTCCCATCTGGTTTGCAGTAATGAGCACAGAATTTTACTAATATATGAAATAGCATTTTTATACTGTATGAAATAGTTTTAAATTTGATGAAAGTTTTCAATGAAATAATTTTTATTATGTTGGATTAAGGCATAATAATTAAAAAAAACATTGTAGGTTGCCAGCTGCTGCACATTTTTGAAACTTAATCCTATTGTATTGAATAAGAACTTGCTTATGATAAAATGCATAGCCTTCTCTTTTTGGCTCAGTTTCTTTTCTGTTTTATGTTTTTGCATATTTTTCTAAATAATTCTTTCCCTCTTTAGGTTGGCACTCTCGATGTCTTAGTTGGTTTATCTGATGAGCTGGCTAAACTGGATACCTTTGTGGAAGGGTAATCCCTACTTTTTCATATATCAGCACTTTATGACTTCTGTGTAGTTATTCTGTGTCAAACTGAGTATGACAGTCTTAACTGCTACTGTTTGGGCTTAACTAGTTAGGGACAGTAAAAATTCCTTCAGATTATACTGGTAGTCCTCGACTTANTCAAGACTCAGGAGGAACCTGGCCAGTGGTGGGTTCCTACTGGTTCAGATTGGTTCGGCCAAACCGGTAGTGGTTTGGCAGCCTGGGTGACTGGAACCGGCAGTGACGCAGGCCTGCCACGCCCCGAACCGGTTCTCCAGGTGGCACCATCTTATTTTTCACTTCTGCCCATGCACAGAGCATTTTTTATTGTACAGTGCATGCACGCAAAGCATCCACGAGCAAACTGGCAGTAGTGACTGCCGGAACCTACCCCTGAACCTGGCATTTTAGCAATAGCACTTAGACTTATATATCGCTTCACAGTGCTCTATAGCCCTCCCTAAGCAGTTTTACAGAGTCAACAATCTGGGTCTTCATTTTATCCACTTCAGATGGATAGAAGGCTGAATCAACCTTGAGCCTAGTGAGATTCGAACTCCAAATTTCAGGCAGCCAGTAGTCAGAAGAAGTAGCCTGCAGAAGTAAACTGTAACCACTGCCCCACTGTGGCTCATAAATTTTCCTCCTAAAAATGCAAAACATGTTAAAATCTTGAGTGGCAGGAAGATCATCAGATACCTTACTATCATCATGGAGAATAGGAATGCCAGAAACCTACAAATTTGGTGATGAGGGTAGGAGGCAGCTGGCGTAGCACCACTTACTCTGTTTTGGTGGGGCAATCTGCTATTCCCCAGTTCAGCAGTGGAAACAAAAATTGTTCCTCCCTAATTGGAAACCATATGAAATTATCTAATAATTTGGCAGCAATAAAGGGCTGCCATCATCTCCCATAACAGCCCAGCCCTGCTCTTAATCATATCCAGGTGTTTCAGATTCTTTCTATCTAAAATAACCTTTGTATAATGAGCCAAACCTATATCCTATTATAACCTGCCAAGCAGAAATGGATTAATCTATTAAATCCTGCTCTGCCTTTTTCATCATCATGATAAGCTCAGATGACTTGTAAACATCAGATCTTTTCCAATGTGGCAATCTCCTCTTCATCAGCTAGCCAATCCCCTTCCTTCCCCATAAAACTCTCTGTGATTGGGTTAATAGCTTTTTAATTTCTGTTTAATTACTCATTAATAACCCAGTTCCTCATGCATCCTTTTCCTCAAAATGTATGCATGAGTGCCCAAAGAGGCACAATCCAGCTGATGCAGACTATTGAATCAATGTTTATTTTGATTTCCTGGAAGTCCTTAGATGGGTTATTTACCCAAAAACTTTAAAACTCATCTCATATTCTTTCTGGAAAAGGTTAGTCATAATTTCAAATTGCGGAGAATCTTTGCCAGCATTCTCAAAAATCCAATCAATATTTATTTCCTTCCCTTATGTTTCACTGGTGATAAATCCCAAAAGTTGAATTTGACTTGAAGTAGACAGTAATTTTGAACAATCATTATCCTTATTCCTTATTTCTCCCCCCCCCCTCTCTCTTGTGGTATATAGGACATTCTTCTACCTAATCCTTAAAAATAAAGATTGTTCTGCTTTTGCATTTTATTTCAAATCAAATCAGTTTATTATGGCTTTGGGGCAATATATAATAAAATACTCAATAGCATAACTGTTACACAAACACACATATGAAAAACAGTTAACTTTAATAAGCCCTAAAATAATTAAAGATATACAGTAAAATGTAATAGAATAAATATAATATCATAAGAAGTGATGTGTAAATGAATATCAAGACTTTATTAATGGTGAGATATATTGTACAAACAGTAGCTCAAAACTGGGTGATTTGGGAAGATATTTTTGAGTTGTTGTATGAAAAAAGGAATGAGAAATAATCACACTCACTACCCAGTAACGTCCCTCAAAATCACATAAATTAATGCCTGCCTACAATTCTTACATATGGAGCAGCATAACAACATATCATTAGAGTTCCA